AGCTGCGAGGCGCCGCTTCCCGCGTTGAAGCTAGCGGCGCGCTCGTGCCGCGGGATGGCGTGGGGCGCTGTGGATCCTGCGCCATGGGAGGGGAGGTGAAGGGAGGGAAGGCGAGGGCAGCGTGGGGTGCCGCTGCCGAGCTCCCAGAGAGCCCGCAACCGAATAAAGCCGTCGGCAGCCGGGAAGCCTCCCCCGAAATGCTGCAGGGGCCCGGCGGGGCGGGAGCGCACCGGCGTCCTGACTCTGCCCTCCCAGGAAGAAGTGCCGCGGGGGAGCGGCGGCAGAGCCCAGGGCGCCCGCCCGGCTGCGCCTCTGGGGCAGCTGCCGCCATGAGCGCTCGGGCCCCCGCCTCCGCCAGGAGGAGGGAGAGGAATAGCGCCATAGCGACCTGAAGGGGAGAGGGGGTCACACGGGGGAACGAGCCCGGCGTGGGGGTGAGCTCCGGGCGGCGCAGGGAGGGTGCGGCACGGCCCGCGGGGGCAGCGAGGGCGTTGGGTGCCGGTCTCGGCTCTGCCTCCCGCCGTCGGGCCGGGGAAGCCCGGAGCAGGTGAGGAGGGGCCAGGACCGCCCGGACCGCCGGGACTGTCCAGGGTGACAACATACGCCGGTGCAGCAGAAAGGGTAACAGAGCTAGGCAGAATGTCTGTGAAGGGACAGGGAGGGCAGCAAGAACTTTCTGAAGTTTGTAATTTCATCCGAGTTCCAGTGCCGTGTACTTCCCGAACCTCTGATCCCTGACAAAGCATTTCAACTCGGTTCGGGAAGCTTCCAGGCTTCTTTGGAAGTGTAGAAGGCAAGAAAAAATGTCCCTTGGGGTAACTGTTACCGGCCATGAAGTAGATTTTTTTTTAACCTTTCTTTATATTTATTTTATGTTTTCTTTCGCTGCTCCCCGTCACAGTAAGATAGCTTGACTTCCGATCATTAGCAAGAGTGTATTCAAGAAGATAAGGGCTAAAAGGTACTGACCTCTGACTCCCCTGGAAAAATGAATATAAATCATCTCGTTACATTTATGCCAAAAACAATAAAATTGAAAGGAGTGCGTAGTGAAGTGTTCCTCCTCCCTGCAAAGCATCACTTAAAAAAATCCACGGATATATCGCCAAAAATTGTTTGAAGCAGTTACCGAAAATAATGAACAAAATACTCTAACTTTGCAACGCTTCAGTAATTATTTTTAAGAACTGCATTCAGAACCGCTTGCTTATATCTGAGACCTAGTAGCCAAGGGTCTGTTAACTATTTCCTGTGTTAAAGAATCGGCTTTCTCCTTGTCCTGCTCCCCTAAACATCCTAATAATATTAGCGAAAGAGCAGGAATAAAGCACCTACAGCATGGTTTGAATCTTGAAGGTTAAGATCTAGATCAGTTAAAACATATTAATTACTTCTGAATGGTCTCAAAGAGCATTTGCCGTGTATATTTATGTCAATAAAGCCTTGATGAGGGCACGGATGGAAATTCACATCACATTCCAATTCACCAGGGTACCTCAGTGCGTGTGTCTGAAGTTACTAGGTTCTGAAAAAACATCCTTGGTCTCCAAGCGTCCGTACTCTCCCAGGCACCCCCAGGGCTGGGCAAATGAACCGCGTCTCACGGACAGGCGATGAGGTGGCGAGGCGCTCCCTTTGGCCATGAGGGTCCATGCGAGGTCACATCCCACCTCTTGCCGGTTCCACACTCAGCGTGTGGAAATCTGTCTGTTACTAATACCAAGCCGATTTTTTTTTTCAGCAATTGGGAGAGCGACCCGCGTAGTTAATTCACTAATATTGACCTTTTTAAAACGCTATCAAGAAAGCAATGTATAAGTGATGTCTTATGTTTGAAAAGATTTTTCTCTCTGCATAACAAATGGCCACCTTATTCTTTAGAGGGAATTAGTAAATGCATCCAAATTCATAAACTAATGAATACATCAGAGTGTGCCCGAATGTGCTGGAGAAAAAAATGGATCTGATTTGTCCTATAGGAAAATGGCCCAGTAGGGTTTTTCTTTCTTTTTTTTTCCTGCTTTGATTTGTACAGTTTTTACCCCTCCCCCTCCGCGCACACATACACATGCTCACTCACACATGCTGCAATATACGCTGCATATTGTGTCTGCCTACACAAGTTTTCTGCTACGTATAGTTGGAAACCTATCTATGAAACGCTTTGTTTTCACTTAGCCTTTCTTCAGATACACCATTTTATTATGCGCCTTTTTAAATCAAATTGCACTGCAGTATCTATTTATTTAATCTTCCATTATTATCTGTTTTCCAGAGCATTCTCTCACGAGAATAAATGCATCTGAACTGAGCACAGCTATCCATCTGCTTCAAGCGACCGGAGGGTCTCTATCCCTCCTGGAGGGGCCGCAGCAGCCGTGCGCCCCCGGGGTTCGGCCCCTCAGCCCGCAGGTGTCCGCTCCGCTCCGCCGCTGCGCTCGCTGCCTTGCACTCCGCTCTGATGCCTACTGCGCCGAGGAGTTACCGCGGTGCAGTCATCCCGCAGCGGTGCGTTCACTTCATTTGTTCAACAACATCATGCACTCGAGTCCCTTCTAGATAGACAGGCTTCAACGGGCTCGGTGACAGGGAGCTCTCGGCTCATATGAAAACTACGAGTTTAGCTACTGTGGGCTGCCTTTGCCTATACACCTGGAACAGAGCAGTTCTAGATCTGATCTCCGTTTTCAGAAGTCGAGCATTTTTGGCGAAGGAAAACAAGGTTAATGTCTCTGAAACGGCCGAATTCTCCCATCATTCTGGGGCTGCCTCTTGAAATCTGCTGGGAAATGGCCCCAGCGTTCTGACCCCGCGCTGGTGGTTCTGTGGCGCGCTGACTTTGTCCACGTTTGCTGTAACTTCGAAAGCCGAAAAATTGCCCTTTGGCAGCCGGTCCTTTCACATCTTGTATTTTATCTACCGTAACATTTATATATTCAAAATCTACACAAGGGCTCGTCGACCCCGAGCCTCCGGGCCCCGGCCACAGGGGAAACCGGTGCAGCTGCTGACACCCATACGGGCTGAGGGGAAGAAACCGAGTCCTCGGACACCGCGAAAGCGGATCCTCGGTGAGCTATGGTCTTCACTGGCGCTATGTGGGGTTGGTAAGGTGGATGCTCATGTCCCCTGGTATAAATTAGCAGAAGTGTATCCTACTGATCTATTTATTTTTCCCAAACCAAGGGTGTTATGAAAGACATTCTCTGCAGCTCATGTTGACAAATAACTGGTGAGCTACCTGACAGTGTTAGTCCAGTTGTTGCCCATATGTCTAAATAGCCTCCTAGAGACGACAGTGCCGTTTAGCAAGAGAATTACCTCAAATGAAAACCAGAAGGAAGATTTTTTTTTTTCTTCTCCCCTAAACCCACTTTACACCTGAGGGCAGTAATACTCAGGGAAGATTTTTTAAAATTCAGTATCACTTTCCTCCACAGCAGCGATCGCTTTACAACATGACGGAGGGCGGAGAAGCGTGCGCTTTCCCCCCCTCCCCTTTCTTTTTTATTTTTTTTTAAATCCATACCTTCACTAAATGCCTTGCATTCGTGTTTGTTTAACAAAGAGTCGCTTCGGTAAACAAGGCAATCAAAAGAACATTTGAGACTACGTGGATACATTTCTCTGCTGCTTGTAGACGCCTGAACACCCAGAGGAGTTGTTGAATGCCTCTCTTCCCGTCTTTCCTTTATTTCCCCAAATGAACACAGGGAAAGCTTTTAACCGAGGGGAGATTTAAGGTGATAAGCAACGAACAGGCAGTCGGCACTGGAAGCCTGCGCTTTGAGCTGCAGCCGGCCGCGGAGCAAAAGGGATGGGGTGCTTCAAAGGCTATTTTTTTTTTTTTTTACTTTTCTTTTGGTTGACGTTCTTCTTCTTTCGAAAACTGAGACGGTTTAGTCTTCCTCGAAATACTCCTAGTGTTGCCTTGCCAGTGCAATTTCATTTTAAATAACTATTTTAGCCAAAGTCTCGCACCGATTGGTTTGGCAACTATTTCAGCCTTTTGAGAGTCCGTTATGGTTTTAGGGAAGACTCTACAAGCCTTCTCCCACCACTCTAGGCGCTCTCTCTCTGCTCTATCTACTCTTTTCAGGAGCCAGCAATTTTAGGAGCAGTCTGGTTTTTAGAGTTTTTTGTTTGTTTGTTTGTTTGCTTTGTGTTGTTTTGGTTTTTTTTCCCAGGGAATACGCGACATTAGGTATAGTCCTGCTTCCCGGGGCAAAAAAAAAACCCACACTCACTTCGAGGGCAGTTTCAAAGTGCTTCTGTCTCCTGTTGTAGGAGAATTCGGGTTTGGGTCTGGGGTTTCTCTCTTCTTTTTTTTTTTTTTTTTTGTCTGTTCGTGGGATATTTCGGATTTTTTTTCCAGCGTGTATCAAGAAAACTAGTTAAAATCTTCCTCCATCCTTCTCCTCTCGCCCCCCCGCACGACTCGGTTCAAGCTGTCCCACAGCGCATCAGCCCGAGGGCTGAAAAGCATACGGCTAAAGGTGGGGAGGGGGTCGTGGGCGCAGGAGACGTGACCGCAGCTCATTTCTCCCAAGCAGGACCACTCGTTCGATGGACTTTTGGGGTGGAGAATTTGGGGGAAGGGGGATGTGTAAAACTGCGGCGATCCTCACAACTCTGAGGTCCCGTGGGACCTCGGCCTCTCGCCTCCGGTGCCAAGCGGACAGGCGACGGCCAAAATACCCACCTTAACAAAAATAAGCCCCTAACAGGTACGCGCGGGGGAAGGCGTGTGCGTGGGGGGTGTGTGTGTCCGTGTGTCCCCGTTCCCCCCCGGCTGCGCCGCCAGGTCAGAGGGCGGACACGGGGAGCAAGGGGAGAGAGGGGAGGGAGATGCGTTCGTGTGACGTCACCGCCCCTCCACCAGTGGGCGGCCGAGGGCGGGCGGTGGCGGCCAATGGGAGGCGAGGCGGGTCCGTGAGTGGCACCGAGGGCGGGCCCTGCCCGGGGGGAGGAGACGGGGGGGGGGTTGGGGAAAAATGAAGTTGTGCTAAAAGGCTTTTAGCCATCAAGAAGTTATTAGGCATTTCTCAGCCGCAAATTAGGGATTCTTCATTAATACCAACCTCGTCCCCCTACCCCACCCTACCCCACCCCACCCCCCATTATGTGAGACGGAGAGCCTGGGAGCCGATAAAGGGGATGGGGAGGCGGCAATGTCTGTCTGCCCATCGGTGCGAGGAGCAGTGACAGGCGCAAACTTTTCCCCGTGCCATTAATGAGCCAATTAAAGAGTTGGGCTTCTCACCCCGGGAGAGCTCTCTGCAGGCTGCCGGGCTAAGGGACTGAAGGTAGGTAAAAAGAAGATCACAACCCACCACAAGCTGCCAGCCGCAGCGAAGAGCCGCAGTGATGTGCGGGAACTAGGCTGTGGGTCGCTTCCCCACGGTGGAAAATGAGAAAAAAAAAAAAAAAAGATAATTTGGTTAGAAAAATGTGATGTTTGGGTGGATTCCGGCTCGGGGCAGGGCTGGGCAGAGCGTGCCTCCCCTGGCTAGCGTGCAGCTGAGGTAGACACCCCAGCCATCCCCCCGACCCCAGCCGGAGAACGAGGAGAGTAGGCGAGAAGAGGGGAAATTTAAAAGAAAAAAAATGGGAAAAAAAAAAAAGAAAAAGAAAGAAAAAAGGGAAAACAAGCAAAAATACTCCGTGATTGGAAATGTTTCTCCCACTGCGGGGCTGGCAGCACGCAGCGCGGGAAGGTCTGGCCGCCCCTGCGGTGCCGGCCTGAGGGAGAGCGGAGGGGACGGCGCAGCCCTGGCATCACCGAGACCGGTAACGCCTGTGCCGGGAGCCGGGGACTGGCTTCTGCCGCGGTTTCATTCTGGCCATGCAGTGCACACCTGGGCTGGGGAGTGCGAGGGCTGTGGGAGGAGAGTGCAGGGCAGGCTTCTCCGTGGGCACGCTAGATGGGAACACTTTTTTTTTTTTTTAATTTCCCCTCTGGTGGGAGAAAATACTACACCCACCGAAGGCTGATTGTTGATTATTTCTCGCGGCTCTGCTGCGGCGGTTTGTGCCGGCTCTCTTATTTCAGGACTGCTGTTGTCTTCACAGAGAGAGGCTCCCGGGAAGTCACCCAGCTTTCTGGGAGGCAGCTCGCGGCCGGGCGTTCTGCCCTCGGATTGACAGTGGACAACGGGAAGAAACGGGATTACTATGACCCTCTTCCGAGGAGCTCTGCTGCCCGCCACGAGTAGGAAAAAAGGCCAGATATATGTCGTTTGGTTGCCTGGTGCCTCAAATTTCTAGTGGGGTTTTTTTTTGTTGTTTTTTCTTTTTTTTTTTTTTACTCCAGTTGCTTGGAGTGCTGAGCTGCATTGGATAAATGCCTTTGCCATCCGATTGACTCTGCTTTTCAGAGAATATATACTTTTTTTTTTTTTTTTTTAAGAACACCTCTCTGCTCTTCAATACTTGTTTGCATTTTACACAACAGAACCGTTTCTCAGAGTAGTGGACGCATTCAGAATCGCTGCCTGATGCTCCGGAGAGATGAATTGCAGCTGAGTTTCCCTTTCACCTTTGGATGAATGCCTGGAGTCTAAATTGTAGCAAAGAAGGGGATAAAAAACACAATGAAAGAGAAGTCCAAAAATGCTGCCCGGACTAGACGGGAGAAAGAAAACAGTGAATTTTATGAACTGGCTAAATTACTACCCCTGCCCTCCGCTATCACCTCTCAGCTGGACAAAGCATCCATAATCAGACTCACCACCAGCTATTTAAAAATGAGGGTGGTTTTCCCAGAAGGTAGGTGAGAATGCCTATTCGCCTCTATTTTCATTCCTATCCAGGTGTCGCTTATCACTTTTACCTTAAAAAAGAAGATAAAAACGATGAGGTGGTGTGCTCGGAGACAGAGTGCTCTCCGCTGTCACTTTTCTCTGTTGTAAATACTTTCCCTTTAGTTCCTATGACAGGTCTGTTTGGGGACTTACGATGCTTTTGTCAATACTTGAAGGCACTGAGCTCTGCTGCAAACCCGTGTTTTCTTTTTCCTTAGACTCCCAGTAAGATGTGCATCCCCCGCCAAGCACACGCGTGGCGAAAGAGGGAATGATTCACCCCTATTTATAGAGATCCTGTGGGGCAGTTAGTATATGGGTAAATATTTACATAAGTCTATGCAAAGTCCTAAAGCCTTAGTTCAACTATCGAGCAAAGGTGCGGTGTACAGGTACAGGACACGCATACAGGCGTGCTCACACACACGCTAAATAAATAAGTCAAGCACTCCGAATCGCATCATCAATGTGCCGTGTTTCGTTCTGAGGATCACTAGGGCAGTTTGAGGGCTTTAATAGACCTCGGAAATTTTTAACAGGAGTTTTGCACCCAGACATCAAACCCCCCTGTCCACCCAGTACTGCAAAACCAGAGTCCTAGCCTGGGCCTGATTCTCCTCAACAGGCAAAAGTAAACTTCGCGTTGACTTCCACGGCAGCAGCAACAGTCCCGCCTGTCTAGCGAAAGAAGTCTTAAGCATCCTAAAATTTCTCGTGTCTTTTGCTTTTAAGTAGAATTAGGATTTAAAGCGACCATCTTGGGGCTTCTAAATCGGCTGCCAAGAAAAACAAACAGCACGAAGTTAAGAGAGTCAGAATAAAGTTTTTTCTATGTTCTCACTCTACTGGTTCTATAGGGGAAAAAATAAAAAATGTTTCATTAACTTTTTATTTAAATCAACTCTATGGAATTCCATCTGTATGAAACAAAAAGCATCAAGAGCTTTTTTTTTTCCTTCTCCCAATCTAATACAAAATTCGCTATTACTTTTGCTGAAAAGTGTGTGTATATAAGAAACAACATAATACAGCTATGTCCCCCTGTGTTTTCTGTAGCTGTATCTCGACGCGGTTGGTCTGTACTTTTTTTACAAATCAAGAGTGTGTATATGCCCTAGTTTTGTTTTGCTTTAGTTTTGTGGAGGTTGGTTTGTTTGCCTGTTTTGGTTTGTTTGTTTTTTGTTTTTTTTATTTTATTTTATATTTTCAGATAAAATTGGTGGACCATTGGTATTAATTCTACTTTTTAAAAATAAATATGCAATGTGGCAGTCATTTGGACGGGGGGCGGGGATAATTCCCCCCCTGCTCCAGGTTACTTATGAATGCTTATACCTAAAGTCCACAGCAGTAATTTCCAATTCAGTGCATCTTACCATTTCTTTAAACAATTTTCCATATGTCCGAGTCACTTATAACCAAGAAGGGGTTAAATGAAACCTTTAAAAATAATAATAATTAAAGCCTTCATCAATCCACTTTCCTCTTCTATGTGATCTGCCACCTTGAAGATCATTATGCGGGACAGTCTTCTGTTTCAAAGGCGACCGAGTTGTCCTTTATACTGTCAGCGCATACTTTATAAAAATAAAGCTATTGCAAACCCTGATGCCCATGATGTTCCTAAAAGGATTATTAGCAATGATTTGTCAACTCCTGCGGTCTCAGTAGGCTACCTTTCTGCGTGATTTCGAGCAGGTCTCGTCAATTACTGGTGCCTATGTAGCGGGTTGTTTGATCAGAAGAAGCATATGGTGTTGCTTGTAGGCTGTGAGTAATCATGGGAAAAGAAGAATAGCTGATCCTCGTCCCTCGGTGGCAGCGCAGGATGCCTAAATGCCCTGGGGAACCGTGCGGCGAAGCGCGCCGGGGCCGCTGCCGGCCGCAGCAGATGCTAATTTGAGTGCGGAGACAGAAAGGGCGGCTGAGCGGGGCTCGGGGGGCAGCGGAGCCCTCGCAGTCTCATTAAAGGCAAACTGCAAATTAAAAAGAGAGGCAGCGAGCAGGCACGGAAGGGCTCGCCCCTGGAGGCGCTGCCGCGGGAGGCCCGGCGCCGGGCGGGCGGCACATCCACGCGGGACCACCGCCCTCCGTCCTCCCCCGGGGCCGTGCAGGGCCGCGGGCGTGGGCGCGCTGCGGGCTGGGCGCGAAGCCCCGAGAGCGGGACCGCGGCGTGGCGTGGGGCCGGGCGGCTTCTCCGCGGGCTCCTTCGCCCTCCCACGTACTTCCCGTGGAGGCGGGTGGGAGCGGAGCGCGGCCCGGTCCCAGCCCCGCGGGTTTCCCTGCACTCGTCGCGAATAAACACGAGCGAGTCGCCCACGAGCGGCCTTCAGGCACTGCGGCCGTGCCTGGCCATGCGGGAGCCGAGCCCAGGTGATTTTCCCCGGGACCCCGGGGGAAGGAGTGGGCTCCGGGAAGCCGGCGGGAGAGGCTTGGGCTCCCGGTGCGGTGTGCCTGTGCTTGTCCGGCTGCGGCGGGGAGGAGGGAGGCCAGGAAAAGGGGTGCTATTCTGGTCTCCCAGTGTCCCCACTCAGAAAAGAAAGTCATCACTTCGCTGGGAAGGAAGAACAAGGTAGTGTCAGTCGGGGAAATGACGCACGGAAAGGATAAGCCTTTCTGAAAGGAGGAGACAGGGTAGGGATGTTGGATGGATGTAATGGGGGTCCGTTTGCTTGTATTTCCCTGGGGAGGAAAGCGATACAACTCGTTGGGACAGACCGACGAGTTGGTCAAAGGGCTGGAGATGAGTAGCAGGAGGCTCAGGAGCACGGCGAAGTGTCATGCGGTACATTTAAAGAGATCTTGGAGGAGTCAGAATAGAGAACCGTTGTCTCCCTAAGAGCAAGCTGCACTTCCAGAGTAACTCACATCCCCTCTCCCCGGTACAAGAGCGAATTTCCATCTGCCCGGAGAGTGCTTGCATAGGGCTGATTGTAAATAACCACGTACAGAAAGATATACACTCCTCATCACCGCGCACACGCGGGGCTGGGGACAGGGCGGAGAGAATCGGTATGCGCTTGTCTGCATATTTTTATGTCTGAGAGGTCCCTATAGAGAGACAAAGTGGGTAGATTTCGGGTTCATTTTGGAAACAAGAGTTTTCTAGGAGTGAAATGCAGGGAGAATCACACACAGAACAAACACGTAAGGTTTCCTTCTCACCCCACAACCAATGACACCGGACAAACTTGATAAACCGAGCAGAGATTTTCCAACGAGCTCCCTCTCGTAATGGCTGTGTAGTTCTCCCAAGCTATTGAAACGCTGTTGGGTTGTTCTATCTACCTTTGATTTCAGTTCATTACGTCTCCAGCAGATTAAAACTGTCAAGAACGAAAAGTATTCAGTGGCGTAGGTTTCTCGCATCCTTTCAGTGCTAAAACGCTTCTGTTCAGGAGGAGAAAGCTATAAGACATATATTACTTTTCGGTGATCAGACAGCTTTGGAAAGAGTGAATATCTGCTGAATTTCTGAAGAGAATAGGGAAGATTTTTAAATGTTAGTCTTTTTTTTGGTTTTGTTTTTTGTCCTTTTTAAAGCAGAACTTTTTAATATATTAATTCGTGATTTAACGTTCATTAAAAATAACAAAACACTAAAATTTCAATTTAACATTAAACCATTAATGATAAGTGACGTGGACACAAAAAATACGTAGAAAAATCTCCAGGGTGTCGAAGCACTAAAAAGAGTTTTCCGTTAAGAAGGATCCAATCGCTATTACTAGCAGAGTAATTCTTCACTGACCCTCGGCAGTATCCAAAAGTGAAGGGGGAACAAAATTAATAAAACCCAAACAAAAAGTCCAAGTGGCACAATAAATACATTTTGTTGTTGCTGTTTTTCTTTTTCTTTTTTTTTTCTTTTTTTTTTTTTTTTTATTAGAAATACTTTAACGGTCTGATTCTTCTTACTTGGAAGAAAGAGGGAAGAGGAAGGTTTGCAGGCTGTCCTAGTGAGGATGGATCCTTTTGGCGCGGAGGGACATTTGATTTTCAAGACAAAAGCAGAGACTCAGTTTACATAAACTTTCGCCGAATCAGGATGGTTAACATTTCAATATTGAAACCCTTAACCTTGTTTTATTTTAAAGGGGGAAGAGATCAACAGGAAAAAAAAGTCTGTTTCCCACGTGGATAGGTGATTTAATGCTGTTTTTCTTACTGCAAAGGGAAATGATTGAGCATTAGGTTTCAGTGTTTATTTTCTTACAGAAGTTTTTCTCATTTAAGCTGCAGTTTACTTTCCACGCTGCATCTCTGTTTAATTCCAGGTTTGATGTGAACTTAAACTGTGAAGTGCAGAACTAAACTACTAGCATGATCGTTGAAAAAAACAGATTTATTATTCGAAAGAATACTTAGATAAGCAGAGGGGAAAATCGTATTTTCTTTGGGAACATGCGGCCATTTTCATGTTGGAGGATACTTTTCAACTTGCATATAAACAGCGTGTGCATTGGCGCAAATTCTTCCTCCCCTTTTTCTTCGAAATAAGGGCTATTTGAATTTGCGTCTTCTGTAGAGATGAGTAAGTAGTTGGTGCTAGAAAATGTCCCTAATTCCCCCCCCCTCTCCAATTTGGGCATGGTTCCGTTTGTTTGCATTTCAAAGCGCAATTCCGTTACCCTGTGTGTGCCAAAATCCTGGTATTTCTTTCTAGAGTGAAACAGCTTCGGCATTACTTCCACTACCGTTTTCTTAATAGGGTTGTTTGTTTAGTCAATAGGGCTTTTCCTTCCTGTTATTATTATTTTTATAAAGAAAGCGGGATGCTAACTTATCTATGCTTCAAATGAACACATGTGATTTACCGAGACAATAAATCTTTACAAAACCTTGCTAATGGCATCTGCAGGCAGTTGGAAGTGAGCAGCTTTTTTTTTTTTTTTTTTAACATAGCTTATTCTATTTCAGCCCTCCGACGGCGACCCAGTCCCTCACAGAAGCCTAATTTGGCCG